AACTAACAGATCTGTCCTGGAGGAAGTGCAGCCAGAATGCTCCTTGGAAGTGAGAATGGCCAGACTTTGTCTCACCTACTTTGGTCATGTTGTGAGAAGGAACCATTCCCTAGAGAAGGATGTCATGCTTGGTAAGGTGGAGGGTCGATGAAAGAGGTGAAGGTCTTCAATGAGATGGATTAACACGGTGGCTGTGATATGGGCTCAAGTATAGCAAGGATCTTGGAGCTGTGCAGGATCGGGCAGTGTTTCGTTCTGCTGTGCGTGTGGTCGCTATCAGTTGGAAATGACTCAATGGCACCTAAAAATGGCAACAACAATAACAACATTAAATAAATAAATATAAATAAATAAATAAATAATCTGCATGACTGGACCAAAAAGCAAAATGAGGATAATTGGAACAAATATTCAAGTTGTGAGGGATTTCATTTTACTTGGATCCACAATCAACAGTCATGAAAGCAACAGTCAAGAAATCAGAAGATGTATTGCACTGGCAAAATCTGCTGTGAAAGACTTCTTTAAAGTGGTAAAGAGCAAGGATGTCACTTTGAAGAGTAAGATGTGCCTGACCCAAGCTATGGTATTTTCAGTAGCCTTATATGCATGTGAAATATGGACAATGAATGAGGAAGATCAAAGAAGAATTGATACATTTGAATTGTGTTGTTGGCATAGAATACTGAAAATATTATGGACTGCCAGAATAACAAACAAATCTGTCCTGGATGAAGTACAGGCAGAATCTTCCTTAGAAGGGAGAATGGCCAGACTTCGTCTTGATAGTGTTTTGGTCATATTGTCAGAAGGGGCCAGTCCCTAAAGAAGGATATCATGCTTGCTAAAGTAGTTGTTGTTGTTGTTGTGTGCCGTCGAGTTGGACTCGACTCATAGCGACCCCTCCTTGGGTTTCCGAGGCAGTAACACTACAGAAGTAGATTGCCCCATCTTAGTAGAGGGTCAGTGAAAAAGGGGAAGACTGTTGGTGAGATGGATTGACACAGTGGGTATGACGATGGGCTCAAGCATATCAAAGATAAGGAGGATGGCACAGAACCAGACATTGTTTTGTTCTGTTGTACATAGAGTTGGTATGAGTCAGAGCTGTCTCAATGTCACCTAACTATAATAGCTACATAGAAAGGATTTAAGAGAGATTAGAGAACATTGAAGGACCTCTGGTGGTACAATGGTTGAACCATTCAGTTATTAAGTGGTGTTGGTTTGAACCCATTGGCTGTTCCATGAAATAAAAATGAGATCGTCTGCTTCCGTAAAGATTAGAGCCTTGGTAACCCTATGGGGGCAGTTCTACTTTGTCCTACAGGTTTATGATGAGTCAGAATTGACTCGATGGCAGTTTATAAAACAGATTTGGTTTATAAAACTGATGATCACATTCTGATTGGATAATAAAAGGTAGAGGACAGCAATAAATTCATAGCTGTCCTGCCATTGTTGCTATTTTTAGCTATCAAGCCACTGAATCACTGCGGCCACCAGTAACCTATACTGACATGAGAACTTAGGACTTTGCAGTGCTCCAGATCTGATCCAGAAGTGAGCAGTGTCTTACCAAGCTGGAGCATGGTGTTCCAAGTGCTTTTGAGAAAATGGTGAACATAAATATTCATGAGTACTACTTCAAAGTTGCCTAATTTTTTTTTTAACTTAACAGGACTTCCAATGAACACACTAAATTAAAAAGCAAAAAGCCAAATGCACTGCCGTCAAGTTGGATCTGACTCATAGCGACCCCTACTTGGGTTTCTGAGGCAGTATCACTACAGAAGTAGGTTGCCCAACCTTCCTTCTGAGGAGTGGCTGTTAGGTTTGAAACACGAGCCTTCAGGTTAGCAGTCAAATGCCTTAGGCACTATGCTACCAGAGCACCCACATTAAATTAGATCAGATTTAAATTTCTGCAGTACATTTTTAATATTATTAAAAGACTGTTTTATTCGTCACTGCTTCGGCCATAATGGATCCCAGTATGGAATATTACAAGCCTGCAAAAATACTGTAGAGTTTTTTTCATAGGCATTTTTAAATATAGAGAATAGCTGTCTTTTTTACCAAAATGTTAGATAATCAGGCTTAGGAGAGAAGTAGGGAATTATTATGGAAGTTTTATTAAATTGAGATGGCCTTCACAACATTTCCCTTATAAGAGTATTTCTTTGACATATTTACATGCTATTTCATTTCTTATTATATTTCTGCTATTTACAAGTTGACAGTAGTTGGAAGTATAAAGTCTGAATACTCTGTAATTACTGAGCTAAGTAAAATATTTGATTGCAACAAGTAAGTCCTTCGGACTGCAAAGCAATTACTTGTATCACTGGCATCTATTTTCATGATGATGTTGTGTGCCACAAATTGATTTTGACTCATGGAGACCCTAGTTGACAGAGTAGAAATGTCTCATAGAGTTTTTCTTAAGTGGTATTCTTTATGGGAGTAGATTGCCATGCCTTTTGTCCCGTGGAGACTCTGGTGAGTTCAAACTTGCAACCTTCTAGTTGTCAGCCAAGCTCTTAACCATTGCATTACCAGGGCTCCTTATTTTTGCCATAGCCTTTACCATTTTATGTGATTTATTTATGGCGATGGTATCATCACAGTGGAAAGGGGGTAAGTGATAATTAACTGAAGATGCATTAAATTTAGATAATGGTATATCGGGAGCTCTGGTAGCATAGTGGCTAATACACTTGCCTGCTAACCAGACAGCTGGCGGTTCAAACCCACCATCCACTCCTCGGAAGGAAGGTTGGGCAATCCTACTTCCATAGTGATACTGCCTCCGAAACCCAAGGAGGGGTTGCTATGAGTCGGGTTTGACTCGACGGCACATAACAACAACAACAACATATTGTTATGTGCCCTTAAGTCGGACCCTACTCATAGCGACCCCTCCTTGGGTTTCAGAGGCAATATCACTATGGAAGTAGATTGCCCAACCTTCCTTTCTAGGAGTGGCTGGTAGGTTTGAATTGCCAGCCTTCTGATTAGCAGTCAAAAGCCTTAGGCAGTACGCTACCTAGGTAATGGTATATATACAGCCACTCCTCGGAAGAAGGTTGGCCAATCTATTTCTGTAGTGACACTGCTTCGGAAACCCAAGGTGGGGTCGCTATGAGTCGGGTCCGACTCCACGACAGTGCGTTGGTTTGGTTATACTTTTATTTAAAATAAAAACAATATGTTAAAATAATTCCTATGAAATTTCCAGTCTAGAAAATATAGACCAGTGTTTCCCTTAACTGCACATTTTTATCACCTGGAGAACTTAGTGAAAAAAAGGAAAAAGCACCCATGGCTGATTCTCACTCCTAGTGTCTGATTTAATTGGTTGAGATCAGGCCCATATACTGACAGTTTTAAAGAGCTCCTGCAGATGATTCCATTGTGCAGCCAGGTTGAAAACCAGTGATCTAAATCAAGTGATTTATTTAAAGCAGATATAATGAGGTGGGTGACTAATACAATCTTGCTCATCTGGAAACTTTCCAGAGGCAGGTGTCCCAGCTTACACATTTTCTGTGCTCCTCACTGCTACTGCTCTTTCATCTGGCAGATTTCCCTTTGCCCCCTGTTCATCACTAGGCAGGCAGGCCAGGAGAGAGAGGAAACTGTGGCACTTAGGTTCCCCCTGTGCTGTGTTACTTCTCCAGAAATTGTTGCAGTAAAATCTGAGGGAGAATGGTGAAGTGGGAATTGAACCAGAGGGTAAAATAAAATTTGCATCCATTTCAAGATTTGATTGCAAAATAAAATTTCACCTCCCTCTATTAGTCTAGCTCATTAAATAAATATGATTACCATTTATGAGTGTAAGTAGAATAAAAGTATTTAACACTGAGACATTGATAAATAAATTTTGATAAAATGTTATATAGTAATAAAGATTTACCATACAAATTTTAGGCTTATGAACTGTTTATCAATTTACTTGTGTAAATATATTTATTCACCTTTTGTAAATATGTGTTTTCAACAGCTGGAATTTCAAATATGGATTTTGACAACATGGCTGATCTACATGTTTATTCTACTGCCACTGAAAAAGTAGAGGAAAAAAGCTTTTGTGAAAAAAATTTAACAGAGGAAAGTATAGCTAACCACAAATCTGCTGATTCTAGTACACCATTTGAGAGCAAGGATTCTTTGCCAAGTGTAGATTTAGAAGAACCTTCTGTTAAGGAGAAATTATACCAAGGCATCAGAGGATCCTTGGACTTTAGCAATCTGCATGAGAGGCCAAACTTACAAGATTCAAAAACTACCCAGTCACCACTGGTAAATTTCTATTATGTTTATCAAATTCCAAATTTTATAAGAAACTTAAGAAGATTTCATATTGGTACGATGTATTCTTAAATATTACTTTCTACTGAAGTTAAAATGTGATGCCTTATATTATCATGAGATGGTAGAAGAGTGACACATACGGCCAAGAATATTGATGACTTGTGGGGCAAATTCTAATATGGTAAATGCCATTGTAACAAATGGTTTTCTATGACAAATAATACTTCAAGGCCCACCTCATGAACCACAGTAAGAGTGCTGTTACTTTTCCAAATGAAATTCATTATTATGAATAATTTAGTATAATAAATCCTCTTTCTAACATTATTCTATAAAATAGTAACTGGCTAAATGAAGTGTCTGCTAATAGGTAGGTAGAATCAGTTTGTGCTGTTTAACTTAAGTGTAAAGTATAGCATGTAATTCTATCAGGAACATGGTTAATATTTTTGCTTCTTGTTAGTGGAAAAAATAGTAAACTCACTGTTGCCTTTTTTAAAAAATTATATTTGAATTTCTGTTCTATATGCTAGAAATCTTAAGTAATCATGATTATTAATAATACATTCTTTATAAATTGGGCACATGATAAACATTTTTTCACCCCTTCAAAGTCATGTGAAACAAATTCTAATGGTGCCTAAATTGAAGTGGAAGCTCCTCAAAGCATAAGAATAAATACTTCAGCCGCCTGGCAGATTAGGTTTCTGTGCCCACCTTGTGTCATGCCTTATATCCATGTGAGCTGAGAAATTGGAACTAAGACCTCTGCAAAATCTTAGACCCCGAAAACTCTGTTCAGTTCCTGAAATAATGTTCTGGGATAATTTCCATGGATATAACAAGTTGAAACTGATTTCTGCTTGTAATCTGGGCTGGGTAAATAAAATATCTTACCTGATAAATAGAAATCTTTGGCTTTCATTTAGCATAGGTTTGGATTTCGAATATATACTTTTTGCCTGGAATGTCCAAGCCTTGAAATTAACATTAATATTCATCTCTTTCCATCGATACCCTGATGCATTTAGCAGAAGCAAATTCCAATACTTTTTGTAAAGATATTCCCACAGCTAAGCCAAAAATGATTTCAACTCATAGTGACCCCCATTGGATTTCTGCAGTGGTAAATCTTTATGGAAGTAGATTGCCCAGTTTTGCTTCTGCGGAGTGGCTGGTGGGTTTGAACCACCAACCTTCTGGTTAGCAGTCAGATACCTTAGGCACTGTGCTACCAGAGCTCCTTAATAAAAGAAGAAACTACTAGAAATTGATATATTTATAAAAGGCCAGTCAAAAAGTTCTGGCATTCAGAATGTAACCATTGAAATTATAATTAAATATATAGATTAAACAGCATATCCTATAAAAATAGAGAATTAGTGACCTGGAGAACAGATTTAAATCGTGTTTTTGCCTGTCTTTCAAGCAAAAGAACTAGCTCCCTTTGTCCCAAGTTATCTATTCTTTAAAGAAATTGACTATATTGCAGCAAAAATAAATAAAACGTTGAAAAATATGAAAAAGACATTGAAAAACATTGACAAAGAATAACACTTTTAAAGCAGGGTAAATGAAAATAAATCCTACTATGACATATTTTCATTTCACCTCAAAGCAATAAAAGCATAGGATCTTTAAAAACAACTAGAAATAACAGAAGATTTTCTCCAAAGAACAGTTATGCTATTAATAATAGTTAATACACAGCAACAGATGGCCTCAACAGCATTACACAATGGAATATTGTCTTTAAAATTCTAAGAGAACTGACTAAAAATTTAGAAACAGAAACTGAAGGATATACGTCAGAAGAAAGAAATGGAACCTAGAGGGAAGATGTTGTATATTATTATAATATAATAATGACCAACTTGGGGGTTATACAAATTTGACTAATAATATATAGCAATAACTTGTAACAGAGTTAGGTATGATTAGAGTTAAAACATGTAAGGTCCTATATTTTAAAGAAGGAGGATAAAGATCTTAGGTTAACTCTATGATTTTAGTCAAGTGTACAGGTTAAAAATTTCAACAGTGACCATTAAAATACTAGAAGGAGAATGTATTATTCAGCATAGTAATGAAAAAAGGGAATTTAGAAATCTGATTAATTAAAACAGGAAAGAAAAGACTCGATGAAAGAATAGTGTGATAGGTGCTGAGCATACGGCTCTCATGAGTCACTCGTGTTTTTGCCTGTCTTTCAAGCAAAAGAACTAGCTCCCTTTGTCCCAAGTTATCTATTCCAGAATAGATGTATAGCAAACAGCTCTAGAAGACCCAGATGCTATATCTTTCCAAAGTAAAGGAAAGGTTTGTTATTTTCAAGTGCAATAAAGATAATATCCTTCCTCCTTGGCAAAGGTCAAACAGTCCTATGACCTGGTATAAAAGAATTGGGTTCCTAGGAGCTCTGATGGCATAGTGCCTAAGGCATTTGACTGCTAACCAGAAGGCTGGTGGTTCAAACCCACTAGCCACTTGGAAGGAATACTGGGCAATCTACTTCCATAGAGAAACCACCTCAGAAACCCAAGGAGAGGTGGCTATGCATTGGAACCAACTTGATAACAGTGAGTTTTGTTGTTGTTGTTGTTGTTGTTGTTGTTTTAGAAGCTTAGGCTTGAAAGGAGCCCTGCCCAGTGGTTAAGCACTTGGCTGCTGCTAACCAAAAGGTCAGGGATTCAAATTTCCCAGCCTCTATGTGGGATAATTGGAAGGATGGTTGGGCAATCTACTTCCCTAGTGATATGGCCTCAGAAACCCAAGGAGGGTTGCTATGAGTTGGATCCATCTCAACGGCAGTGAGTTTGGTTTTGAGTGTCTATGTGGGAGAAAGATGTGTCTATCTGTTTCTGTAAAGATTTACAGCCTTGGAAAATCATATTGGAGAAGGTCTACCCTGCCCTATAGGGTCCTTATAAGTTGTAATTGACTCAACAGTAATGAGTTTGGTATTGGTCTTAAGCTCAGGTTTCCTCTCTTATAAGACCGCTACACTGAATGCACAGGTGTCACCTAGCCCTCTTGATGATGTTCTGTAGAAATTGGGTTCTGGAAATTGGAGTGAATACTGACAGAAGCTACTTCTATTATACTGTGAGAAATAAAGCTTCTTTATTTGTCTTTAACAAAGAATTTTGTGTCTCCTTCCAGCATCCATGAAATTGTAGTGGGCTTACAAATAGTTTAAAAATCTGAGACCCTTTGCTGTTCTTAATAAGTGGAAAGAGTAAAGCAAGCTGATAGAAATAAATTGAATAAGAATAAATGTGAGCAGATTATATTGCCTAATTGTTGTTCGAAATAGATTTCAAGTTAGGATTTAAAACAAAATCCAGCTAGATGGTATTTACAGGTAATATATTTAAAGTATTAGAACATGTGTAAGAGCAATAACAAAAACTACAATAAAAAATAAATAGTAACTTTGATTAACAAAATATTGCTAGGGATAAAGGAGTTCATTATATATGATAAAAGGAATGATTACCATGAAGATTGAAAAAAATTCCATTTGTATGTAAACCTGAAGGACATAATTTAGACTACACACACATCCATTAAAGAATTTTTTCTTTTGGTAACATAGACCATTTACAAAAATAAAGTTCATATGAGGCCACAGTGCGAGTTTTAACAACTACTAAAGAAATATCACATTGTGTTTTCCAAAGATTGTGCAATATAGTTATACATTTGATAGCAAGATGATCACAAATTAAATACAATTCCAAAAAGTTCTGGGTTCAGAAAGATATCTTAAAGAAAATTATATTTTATATCAAATACCTCTATCTCAAGAATCCAATAGCTCCGTAGATGTGACTAGGTTATTTGATGAATTAAAAGCTTTAAATAAACTATGAAAGGTTTTTTTCTAACTTAATCACGAGTGTTTGGTAGAAATTCACATATATATATACACACACACACACATATATATAATCTGCGGTAATTCATATAATTGAAAACAATTTAAAAGTTAAAATGAATGATATAGAACAACTTATTAGCATAGGTATAGCTCAATAATGTTAAAAAACTAAACGTAGAGGATATATGGAGTACAAATTTGATATCATTTTTCAAACTCTTAAGACAAATAACTTTTTTTTTAATGGATACATTTCCATGTAGTAATAGTAAAAACCATTTTTTAGGAATACTGCATGCCAACCTCAATACAATAATATAATAAACTCTATCTATAAAGCCTATAATATTTTCTCTTTTGATATAAACATCTGAAATAAATAATTTAAAATGCTGTTATTAAATTGTAAAATCAATTTATGTTTTGTACATCTGTATAATTAAAGTATATCCTAATTAATGAAATTTTGAAAACAGTTACTAATATTTTTTATATTGGTATTCTAAAAAAAGGATATTTTTATTAAAAGTCGTAAATGATTACATCATCAAGCACAGTGCATTGTACAAATTAGGTGTTCAGGAAGTAATTACTGAAACTCATGGAAATACCTTCAAGAAATTTATTGGGGCTTACTGGTATTTTTAATAGTATTTATCCAGGTGAATCTCTCATAGGATTCTAAAGGAATGTTCCATGGCCTAATGGGCTTCTAACTTGAGGCTTGCCATTTTTATAAATATACTTTACAGCTATATTTTGATTCATTTTAAGGAAATTATATCTGAGGCTTAAAAATAAAGTGTAAATAGTTTCACAGAATTGAGCTCCACTACTTTGTAATGGAATTTAAACTGAGTGCAAAGATCCTCCCTGAGCATCTTCCATGGGTGACTAATCCGTTAAAACGACTGAATGAAGTTGTTAGGTCACAGCTAGAAAGAATTTAAGGAGCTGTAAAATAAAAGGGTCCGACAGGGAGGTCTATAAAATAAGAAGATCTTTTTAAAGAGGCTATCAGAAGAAATTGGTGCTTTAGAGTTTGCAGATTGAATCCTTGCTTGTGGATAGTTCAGTAGTCAATCTACTTTCCTTTCAACTCTAATGACTAACATCAACTGTTGTTATTTTCCTCCAATCCCTAAGCAGGATCTACTTAGTGGGAAGCAGGGCAATTTTTAGTAGTGGAATTTCTTGACATCCCAATTGAGTATAAGACAGTTCATTTACCCCCCCTTTTTTCCCCAAGAATTCATTTTTTTTTTTTTTTTTTTTCCCATCAAAGTAAGACTGCCTATGGTTTTAAGCACTAAGTTGTAGGGTAACAAGAAAGGTACAGTAGAGAACTGAGACATGCATACACTATTCAGGGACACTGGGTTCTGATTCTGAAATTACCAATAGTTAACTTTGTGCTTTGGGGGGAGGGGGAGGAAACTACTCTCAGTTTCCTTATCTGTAAACTGAGACTTTTAAAAATCGCCCTAGATTTGCAATTGTGTAGTCCCAATATGAGCTCTACTAGAGCTCTGGTAGCATAGTGCCTAAGGCACTTGACTGCTAATCAGAAGGCTGGTGGTTCAAACCCACCAGCCACTCCTCAGAAGGAAGATGGGGCAATCTACTTCCTTAGTGATACTGCCTCAGAAACCCAAGGAGGGGTAGCTATGAGTCGGTCCGACTCGATGGCATATAACAACAACAACAGAGCTGAAGGGATTCTATAAGTTGTTCATCAAACACTGGGAGAACCAAGAAGGATATTCTGAGAAGTGGACTTGGACTTGTCTTTGAAGGAGATGCTTTATTATTGATTAGTAGTTTAGTGTTGATATAGTTTTACATTTATCTGATTTATAAATTTCTATGGAGTGATAACACTTTTCTTTGTGTTATGCAGTTCCATGAAGTAGATTGCATGTGGCCATTAGTTAGATTAATTAGAGAGTTGTTAAATACTCAAAACACCTCTGAATATCTTTAAAGCTGGTCTCAAGCTCTCACTTCTGAACCCCTAATCCAATGTATAGGAGCTCTGGTAATGTAGTGCCTAAAGCACTTGACTGCTAACTGGAAGACTGGTCGTTCAAACCCACCAGCCACTCCTTGGAAGGAAGATGGAGCAATCTACTTCTGTAGTGATACCTCCTGGGAAACCCAAGGAGGGGTCGCTGTGAGTCGGGTCTGACCGGATGGCACATAACAACAACAACAACAATCCAATGTATACTCAATTTACATATTTATGTATTTCTCAATTCCCCTAGAATAAGACTATATGAAAAAGTGAATTCTTAGGGTGGTAGAATCAAATCAGTCAGATGTATATTCAAAATCTGAGTCTACTAGCTATGTAACTATATAAATACCTTAGCTATATAAATTTCATAAATTCTATTTCCCTTGCTTCAGAGTCTTACTTATATATTTACTTCATGATGAGTGTTTTATTCACTTGGATTTTGTCTATGGCCCTTGTCAGGTCAGATTTATTCCCATTGATATTTTACTTTCAACTTTGAAATTATTATATGTATAGACAAAGACAGTAGTTCAAAGGCACAGCGTGTCAGTGAGATTCTGTATTTCAAGAAAATTTATGTGCAAAAGCACTTAAAGGAAGAAAATAAGTGAAAGAAAGGACAAAGAAAACAATTTTATCTTATGAACATTTGTCCTCCTTAGGGATTGATGATGACTCTCAGATAATTATTATAGTTGTGGCTTATACATTTGTAAAATTCATTATATATAAATGTTTTGTTACTGTTTATGTCTCCACTGCTAGAACCTAAACCTGATGAGAGCAGAATGTGCCAAGCACATAGTAAGTGCTCAATGAATGAATATGCTGCTTTGAGTTGGTGAGAGAGAAAATAAACTTAATTTTGTTGAATATTTTGTTTCCTAGTTGTTACAAGAAATAGCCCTCAGAAGAAAGCCTATTACTGAACATTATCAAGGACTTGAGAAATTCTTTTTTTCTGATGAAAATAGAAGACTGAACTTACTTCCTTCTCATAGCTTAGAAGGCAGCTCTTCCAGTACTAAGATTACACTTGCAGGTAAATTCAGATATGAAATCAGATGGTCTGTGAACCAGCTGACTAATTTTGTAACTTATTTATTTATTTATTTATCTAACAGTCCACCTTTATCTTAGGAAATACTGGGCAATTCTATTCAATGAATAAAATAATTTTCTCCTTGTCCAGCTGGAATTATTAAACCTGTATGAGCTGCCATGTATTTATATTTAAGGATACTATTAGAATATGAAAACCATGGCTGTAACAAACAAGGGAGACAGTAATTATAGAATTTAGAAGTGTGGTTCTCACTGAATTATGAAATAAAAGGAACAGTTCAAATCGCTTTATGAACTGTTAAGTATTACATGATGATGCTTAAATGCCTTATTGAAAACAGGTCTCAGTATTTCAGGATCTGTGAAATTTCTAAGTTGTTTTGATAATTTCCTTTTGAAAACTAGGACATCATGTCATCTATATTACTAGGTTTCCTATGTGTTCAAATGTTTTTATTCATGTACAATTAAGTCTTACACTATTATACTTTTTGAAATATTTGTTTCTATTCAAACGTATGTTTGTGTATAGTATCTTTGAAATGTAGATTTTATTTTTACTTGTGATTAAAGTTTGTAAATATAATGTTTGTTATTGTATGATTATGAGATTTTGTATTTCATAGTATAATTTACATTTCACTGTTATAAATACTCTGTGTTCGCCTAAATATTGACTAATAATGTGATAAATATAATACACCAATAGCTTAGATTTCTCCCCTTTTAAAACTTGATATTATTTTCTCATTTTCCCATTTTAGGAGACAGAGAATGGATCCCAGACCATAGCTTAAGTGCACATGCTGATAATGCAGTTGCCTTGGATGTTCTATGTGGTGCCCAGAATCTATCACCAAGTAGAAAACAGCAAACAGTGGGTAAGATTGTTGATGAGACAATGGAGCCATGTAGGTCACTTTCTTTGTTTATATTTCTTTGCTAGCAGTTTTCTACTAAACCAGTACCATCGAGTTGATTCTTACTCATGGTAATCCCATGTGTGTCAGAGTAGAACTGTGCTCCACAGGGCTTTCAGTGGCTGATATTTCAGTAGATTGCCACATACTTCTTGTGAGGTGGCTTTGGGTGACTCAAATCACTACGCTTTGGTTTGTGGTGGAACACTTAAATGTTTACACAACCCAAGTACACCAAGTTTTCTGTTGGGTACTTGAAAATTAATTCCTGCAGTTATGTAACATACTCATTTTAACTGAATGTCCTAGATGTTTCTTTTAAAAATAAAACCATAAGAAAGGAGTCATTATTCCTCTTAATGAACATGAGTTATAGTCTTAGTGTTTCTGTAACAATGTATTAAGGAATAATATTTTTAAATGTAACTCAAGATATGATTAATTTTGAACAATCTTTATATATTCTCAATTTTGTTACTCAAGAAACAGTTTACTTTCACCAAATTATACATACTTTTCTTTGAGATTCATACTCGGACATTTGTGAAACAAATGGCTCAGGTTTGGTTGCTGCTTGCAGCTGTGATTGAAACAGCTTCTAAACTTACTGCAGTATATGTTAACTGTGGAACGTTGTTTCAGTTCATTAGCTCTGTTCACTAACCAAAATAGTTGTAAGATTTTCTTTCAGCAGGATAATTTTTTTGACATGTGGAATCCTGACTGTACTGTTTTCCTAGTGAGTGTATGCAGATAATTTTGACATTAGTAAAGGCAGTGGTAGTAGTGTAGTGCCTACAGCACTTGACTGCTAACCAGAAGTCTGGTGGTTCAAACCCACTCCTTGTAAGGAAGGTTGGGCATACTTCCATATTGACACCACCTCGGAAACCTAAGGAAGGGTCGTTATGAATCGGATCCAACTCGATGGCAGTGAGTTTGGTTTTTTTATTTTTTGGTTAGCCCAGGTGGTGTAATGGTTAAGCTCTAGGAAGCTGATCAAAAGGTCAGCAGACCAAACCCACCAGCTGCTCAGAGAGAAAGGTGTGGTAATCTGCTTCTGTAGACATTTACAGCCTTAGAAACTCCATAGGACAGTTCTACTCTATCCCATTGGCTTGCTGTGAGTTGAACTGATTTCATGGCAATGGGTTTGTTTTGGGTTTTGATTGTTATTCATGAGGAACCCTGGTGGCATGGTGGTTAAGCTCTTGGCTGCTAACTGAAACAACAGTACTTCAAACCTACTAGCCACTCCATGGTGGAAAGATGAGGTAATCAGCTCTGTAAAGTTTATAGCCTTGGAAACGCTATGGAGCAGTTATACTTGCTCCAATATGGTTGCTAGGAATCTGAATCGACTGGATTGCAGTGAGTTTATCGTTATTCTTTAATTCATGTCAGCATAGGTTTGCTTTATGCTGAATTTTGCATGAAATTTCAATAGGTAATGAATTAAGGCAGTTCAGTATGCATGTTTTGAGTATGTTAGCACTGTGCTAGGTACTGGCAGTAAAGGTATGTTCCCTGGTCTTAAGGAGTTTGTGGTTTTGGAAAAATATTGATAAAATATTAGTAATAAAGTGAGCCATTTACCTGTTACATATAATTTTTCTATGCATGTAACTTTTATGTATCTTTCTTGTCCTAACCACTGTGATTAAAACTCCTTGACTAGCTTAAGATTTATGGTGAGAATCTGTCAGATATAATTTTTTTTTTTAGTGAAAAAGCATCCATTTATGATCTATGTTTCTTGGGTCTATAGTGAGGTATCTATTCTCACATCAAATTCTAGAACAGCATCAAAATTTCTGTTAGCTTCCTCCAGAGATAGTCAGGAGGAACAGTTTTAAGTTACTATTGATGAAAACAAAATCTTGCACATACAATGGAAAATTTGTTACTAAGATAAATCTTTACAAATAAGTAGCCAAATACATTGAACTTCATTACTTCATTTTGGGGAGATCAGTTGAAATCAATGATTTTGTGTGTGTGTGTGTATATATATATATAACATTTACTTGAGCATCTAGTTCAGGCCAGGCACAGCCAGATATTGATAATTAAAATAAATAAACCCTCATCTTTGTTGTTCAAGAGCTTATAGTCCAATTCACACTTTCTTAAATGTTAGCACATAATCACCTGGGATGATTAAGTGCTATAATGCAGGTGCCTAGATTTCACTCTAAGATTCTGATTCCTTAAATCTGAGGTCAAGCCTGGGAATTTGCCTTTATTTCATTAAAAACCTCATGTTATTCTGATGTAGATAGCCCAGAAATCATGCTTTCAGAAAACTTCTATATACACACAAATACCTAATTGATGCCATATAAATATATGATAAATTTAGAAAAGGACTATGAGTAATCCACCTTTGGAACTTAAGCCAAACCCACTGCCATTGAGTTGATTCCGACTCATAGCAACCTCCATTGGGTTTCCAAGGCTGTAAATCTCTACAGAAGTATATGGTTTCATCTTCCTTCTGCAGTTGGAATTGGTGGATAATTTGTAATAGTGCGTGCCGTCAGCTATAATGGAGGTACATATCCAGCTGATTAGGAACTGAGATAATAAATTTTTTTTTGACAGAAAAATGTAGACATAAACTTTTGTGAATCTTTACAAAGAGCTGCCTAATCTAGGTCCTTCTATTTCTTTTTTAAAAAAAGAGGAAGAAAGGAAAGAGAGAAAGAAAGAAAAGATTAGATTTGGAAGGTGTAAAGACTAAGTGACCTCTCAGCTCAGTCATAAGAAAGTGAATAAATTTTACTAATTAGGGAAGGAGGGAAATTGCTTTCTGGACACAGGTAGAGGCATACAATGAAACAGAACTTTCTTGCTCTGCCACAGGTTATAGAAATCTTACATTCTGAAATGATGACAGTGTATAAAAGAATCTCAGTTTCCTAGCAATTCCTAGTGACCCTATAGGACAGAGTAGAACTAAGCCACAGGGTTTCCAAGGCTGTAAATCTTTACAGAAGCAGACTGCCTCATCTTTGTCCCACAGAAAAGTTGGTGTCTCTGAACTGCCAGTCTTTTGGTTAGCAGCCCAGTGCTTAAACCTCTGCACCACCAGAGCTCCTTCAGTTTCCTTCAGATTTTTAAATTTATGATTGTAATTACATGGTACCTATAAAAGATATATGTAAACCCAAACCAAAACTCACTGCCATTGAGTCAATTCTGACTCATAACAACCCAAGCTAAGTTTCTGAGGCAGTAAATCTTTACAGAAGTAAATTGCCCAGTCTTCCTTCTGCGGAGCAGCTGGTAAGTTTGAACTGCCAAGCTTCTGGTTAGAAGTCAAATGCCTTAGGCACTGTGCCACATATAGCAAGTACTTATTAACTATGATGTCATTAATTCTAATCACACCTCCCCCCATCAATGCCTACTCCTTTCCCAACATATCTTCTGGCTTCTAAATGGCAGCACCATCCAAATATTCATTAAGTCTGAAACCTGTGAGCCATCTTGACTCTCTTTCACCTACTACATTCATTTTATCTTTAGATCCTGCTGATGTCAGCATCAAAATCTTCCCCAATCCAACCACTTCTATATTCGTTGTTCCATTTTAAGTTCCAGTCCGTTATCTCTCACTTATCTCCCAACTTTACTTTTGCTCCTTCTCAAAACATACTGATATGATTAATTTCTCTCAAATTCTACTGTTTATAGTCATTGAGCTATTTGTTTATATTTGTGGTTAGGGAGTGAATCAGTTTCTATTACCTTAAATCATAAATTGTATCCTATATCATTAGTTTTCTACAGCATGTAGTAAGATCATTATTATTTGAGTTCTTTTCTGTACAAATTTTCTACAATTTAGAGAGGACATTAGGATTGTCAATAGTTGATAATGTTTTGCAACATTTATTCAGAATTTAATATTAGGTTCTTTTACTAGAGTATTATTTATTATAAAATTGGTATTGAAAAAAATGTTATTATGATTATTTTCCATCAAATTCTAAAGTTCATATTTAGAACAGTAGTAACAATAATTACTATCATATATAATACTGTTCAGTGAGTGATTTAGATTTTTGTAGCATTTTTATACACATTAGTATAACCCAAAGATAACAATATACTTTATCTTCCAATATATGGCATGATTTCATTAGTAATCATAAAACATGCATTCTTTAGGTAACATCAAGGACAATTTCTTCTGTTATATTTAGAGTATAACTATGATCTGTGCTAATTAATATTTTTTTAAGATTATATTGCCATAGTGCAAGTTACTCTAAAAGTGTATTTCTTATGTTTATAAACTGCAAACCAGACTATTATATTTTATGATAGAATGATCCCTTTAATTGTGGCATTTTCATTAGTGCCAGTTGTAACTGTGGGTCAGATCTTAACTCTAGTAATAATGTTAATAAGTTTATATATTAAACATTACAGGCAATTATATACTTCCCTAAATGAATAAAAAATAAAGTCAGAGACCAAAATGGGGCCTCTTCTATATCTTTATATATTATATTTCCATTAAACTTTGAATATATTTCCAGTAAAAAAATATAACTTTGAATATATTTCCAGTAAAGAAAATATAAAAAAACATGACTTGTCCTCTCACCCCCTGTATATATATTTTTTCAAATGTGATCAATCAACCTCAAGTACTGTGGCAACCAACTGTTGTTTTAATATATAATCAAGTGTTTGTACTCCTGTATTTTCTGAAGGTAATCTACGATATGTTAAAATTTTCTCACCTCTTATGTGTCAGTATTGGCAGAAGACCAGCCTTTAGTTTACTTGCTAATAAGATTTTCTTTTTCTTTTGTTTTATTTCAGTAAAAACTTCTAAAATTTTACCTTGACTGAGATTTAGCTCAGTACCATTTAGAGCAGACACAGAATATGGTTTTCTCCATAGATCTGTTTTTGTCGTTGTTGTTGTTATGTGCTGTCAAGTT